ATATATATATATATATATAATTTTGACACAGATGAATACTACCAATTTTTTTGCAATATCTACAAGACATGCTGCTGAAATTTCATCTCTTTCATTACTTTTAAAAAAACAAAACACAAATTACCATGGATAACTCGTGAACTGTTAATCAACACAAGAGAAAACACAAGAGAAAGCTGTGGTTTCTCAACGTTAACAGCAAATGGAAAACCATTTCTCTGGTTAATGAGTACAAACAAACTCGAAATTTAGTAAAGAAAGCAACTCGTGATGCAATCCATACCTATGAAATTAATTTATCTAATGACAAGAAAAATGCCCAAAAAATTTCTGCTTATATTAATAGCAAACATGCTGTAAGCAACCAGATTGTGTCATTACAATCTACAATTCAATACTGCTACGAACTAGCTTTGCTAGTTAATTATGAACTTATGGTTCATGTATTGTTCCGTGTAACTTGATAATAATAATAATATATATATATATACATATATACATATATACATATATACATATATACATATATACATATATACATATATATATATATATATATATATATATATATATATATATATATATATATATATATATATATATATATATATATATATATGTATGTGTGTGTGTGTATATATATATATATACAAATACCAAGTTTAGCACTTACGGGGACATATTTTACAAAAAAACAAACACTTACGGGGACATTAGCGTTATCTGGGACATTTTAGTGTACCCGTTAATTTTTTTGTCTGTGCATGCATGATTTTTTTTGTAAAAAAATGTACCCATAAGTAACTTTTATAGAGAACAAAAAGTATATACATCGTATATACTTTTTAAAAATATATACGATGTAATACTTGTTGTATATACTTTTTAAAAGTATATATATATATATATATATATATATATATATATATATATATATATATATATATATATATAAATATATACACACACTTACTAAAGCGTGTTTGATAAGCATTTGCTCACTTTTTCTGCTTACCTCAAGCTATACCGTTTTTTTCGAAAAAGAAGAAAAAACAAAGAATGATGAATAAAACGATTGCTTCCCCATCCCAAACCCTCAGTCGATGTAGCAGCACTCCACTGCGAGTCAGGCTGTTTGTCAGTCAATGTATGTATTGAAGCCCCCAGCAACAGGCTATTTCAGTATGACGTCAGATTGCTTACCTTAGTATGCAATACTATTTGTATATATATATATATATATATATATATATATATATATATATATATATATATATATATATATATATATATATATATACTTCAGGCCTTGTGATGAATAAAAACTGCGCGACGCGATTTTTGGCGTCATTAAATTCTTTTTATTTGCTTTTCATATTTATCGATATTAACTGCACCAATTTACTTAATTACCGCAAAACTACTTTAAATCATTAATGTAGAAATGTTATTATTTCAAAATGTTTTGGAATGTTTCGTTTTTTAAAATGTAAAAACATTTGTTTATTTTCTCGGCGTTTGACACGTTTTGTCTATACTAAACGAATAAAAAACATTATAACTAAGCATTTAAAAAAGATTATAAAATATGCTACTATTTGATTTTTTTTTCCTCAAATATATAATTTAAAGTTTTTCAAATAATTATTTTTTCTTTTTAAAAAGTCATCAAATAATAAACTGGAAATTTTAATACTGTACAATAAAAACTGTGCAATAGCTAATACTTTTACTAGCGATTTTATATAATATTTTTTTATTTTTATTTATTTTCATAAAGCGGTTGATAAGCACAATCACACATATTACTAAAAAACTTTAACGAACGTTTTGAATAGATTTTTAATGTTTACAAGGAATTTTATTTTTGGTAAAATAAAATAAAATGTTAGAATAAAAATCTTATAGGTATAAAAGACATATTTCAGCGAAAAAATTATTCTTAAAAATTATTCGAAAAACTATTGACGTTCTATTTTTCAGCAGCTGATCTTGAGCACGCTTCGTTGAGTTTCGGTAACTTTTAACAAAAAAGCGATTGTTATTATTTAAGTAATTTTTTTCGAGTTACTTTTTACAAAAATTTTAATAGTTGTACTTTTTTTATTGAATCAAGTAGAAGACATTTTAATATTATTCCTTTTATTTTTTTTTATTTGCGCTAACCAATTTTTAAAGGGATCCCTAAGTGCTCCTAACATATGATCACATATGAAAGAGCATAAAAAAAAAATATGTAAGTTTTTTTTCTTTTTCACTAAATTGTAATAATAAATACATGCTAACAAAAAACAATTGCCGAAATCACTAAAAAACAACTCCATTTAGATTTTAATTTTTTCACCATTGAAACTCGATTGTTAGTCGTTAAAAATCATGTTAGTACATCACAACAACTTTAGAATATCTACTTCGATTTTCAAGTAAAAAAAAGTCGTGATTAAATAGTTAAGTTTTAATCAAGTTTTTTTAATTAGTTTTGCAAAAACAGTATAATAGCATTCGGTTGAAAGACGTCGTTAAAAAAAAGTTATTAAGTAATAGGTTTAAATAGTTTAGAACTTATAAAAAAATCTTACAGGGCTCGTATTAAGCGTATCGCGATCGCGATTGCAACACACACTTTTGTGATTAGTTTTCTTTTAAAAAAAATCTTTTCGCGACTTGTTTTTTTTTTGGTTGATTAATTACTTTTTTTCTAGCTTAGCATTTTTTTTAGAAATTCTTAAAAGTAATGTTTTTATCATAAAGAATGTCACACAAAATTTATTATTCTGAATAGATAAATGAATAGATGATTTGCTCTTTCGCGCGGAGATTTTCTTTCAGCGTAAAACATTTTTGAATTTAAATTACTTTAAATCTCTGCGTGGAATATTTTTACAAGGTCGTTAAAGCGAAAAGTTGGTTTTTATCTTTGTTTATCAAAACTTCATGTTTAAAATAAGGCTTAAAAACGTTAGAGCAAAAAAATTACTGACTTTTATTTGCATTTTTATACTGTTTGAAAAAAAAAACTAATAAAAAAGAATTAATATATAATTATTAATTAATATATTATTAGTTAATTCTTTTTTATTAGTTTTTTTTTCAAACAGTATAAAAATGCTAATAAAAACCAGCATTTTTTTTACTTTAATGTTTTTAAGCCTTATTTTAAACATGAACTATAATTCGATTTATTAAACCAAATTTTTTTGTTTTATCTTTTATTGGAAAACTTGAAATAGAAAAATTGAATAAAAACATCAACCATTTAAATGAAAAACTTAATTATATTTAAACTTTTATTAGTCCTTTATTCAATAAACAATAAATTATAAAAAACGTGGTATCTATTTTTTTATTAAGTTTTTGACAATGTTTTCTGATTTATTGACGATAATTTTTTCCCCCCATTATCACACATCGGCGCGAGCTATAAGAGAGAGAGGGGGGGGGGGGAGAGCAAAAAAAAATTTTTTTTCGCAATTAGATTTTTTTGCGTTAATTCGAGCCCTGTCTTTAATTTCTAATAAAATGTCTATTCAACCTTATCAATTTGAATAAAAAAAATATAGCAAATTAACATAAATGTTAATTTAACTAAAACATTTTACAATCATTATTTTTTTTATCAAGCAAAAATGAGAGTAACCGTCACTTTTGAAACCATAAAAACTACTGAAATAAATTTATTTTTTTACTAAGGCAATATTTTAAATAAACTTTCATGTCTAAGTCAATATTCATTTGTTTTTAACTGACTAAAATTTGACTTCTATTCATTTTTAGCCGTGGAATTGCCCTTATAACACAAATATATAAATTAATATTATAAAAAAAATCTTAATATACAAATATATTTTCACAAAATGCTACAAAACTTATTCTTGTAAGTAATTATGTGTTAGTTGAAAAAAAACGACTTTACTTTTAAATTTAATTACCAACTAATAAGTTTGCAATAATGGCATTTTGTCTACTTTGTTTAATTTGACGTACTAACGTTAGTTTTTTGAGGCAGTAGAGTCAATAAACTTTGGACAAGACGCATTTTTTTTATTCGAAAAAAGCGTTTTTTTGAAAATTAAATTTGTTAGTGTGTGTTCATTACTACGTTTTAGAAAAAATAATATACATCAAACATTTTTTTTTTATGTTCTTTCATATGAGATCATATCTTTATAGCACTTAGGGATCCCTTTAAAATGTTTCCTCGAAATTACTCTTAAATACTTTAAAAACGTCTAACAGTTAATAAATATTTTTAAATCTATAGAATAATTTTAAAACCTAACAAACCCCCGTAAAATAATTATTTAAGTTAAATATCTAAAACTAAAAGAAAGTATTTTTGTTCAATTTTATTGACAACTTTGCTATTGCTGAATAATTTTATTAAAATGTTACCTCAAAAAGATTTAAACTTTTTTTTTTATCTGAATTTTTCTACTTGTAAAAAATGAGCATATTTAATTTTTTTGTAATTCAATCTTTTGTATCAACTGCGTGCGGTTTTTAATATACTTTATTAAATGTTAAAACAATCGTAAATTACTTCATTAAAATTCCGCTCAAAAATATCTTTAAATATACTCAAACAAAAAATTTTTTGCTCGACGCAAATAGCCCTAGCTACTTGCTCTTGGACGACGTAATTCACATTGCCCGACGCTTTATAACAAGGCCTGATACTTATATTTATATGTGTATGTATATATATATATATATATATATATATATATATATATGTGTGTGTGTGTGTGTGTGTGTGTGTGTGTGTGTGTGTGTGTGTGTGTGTGTGTGTGTGTGTATGTGTATATATATATATATATACACATATATGTATATGTATATATATATATATATGTATATCTATATACATATACATATTTGTATATGTATATATATATATATATATATATATATGTATATATATATATATATATATATATATATATATATATATATATATATATATATATATATATATATATTTATTTATTTATTTATTATAGAGAGATTTATGAGAAACAGTTAAAGAAAGAAGTAAAAAAGAGAAAAAAAACATTAGCCAAAAAGATACGACAGCAAGCAAAATTGTATGTTTAAATTTATTTTTCTATGCTTATGTCTACCTTTTCTATGTGTGCGTGCGCATTTTATTTTTGTCAATCAACATTGATCTACTGAACTAAAAAATTTTTAATTAAAACATTTAACTTCCTATTTTTTAAATGTTTTTATATTTGTTGTAAAATTACTAATCAAATTTAATCGGTCATAATTTATTTTGGGAGAATCAAATATCTTTTCCAATAGTAGTAAATGTTTGATTGGCTGAATAATGTATGTGTATATATATATATATATATATATATATATATATATATATATATATATATATATATATATATATATATATATATATATATATATATATACACTAGGCCATCCCATAATTTTTTTTTGACAACCAAGTTACATGCGGAGTCGCTAATGAGTGGCATAGAGGTCATATTTATAAGTCAAATTTTTTTTAATTTTTTATTTTTTCCTGTTAGAAGTATTCGCGCCGGTCGTTCGAAGTTACGCACTAGGCAATTTATGACCAAAATTGAGCAGTTTTCAACACAATGGCGCGAATCGATTCTGATGTCGAATCCAGTTAATTTTTTCATTTATATTCTCTTCATGTGTTCCCATACCAAAAAAAACACTGTGTTTTTCGAGTTAAGAAATACATAATGCCTACTGTTCACTGATTTTGATAGAAAAATCAACATTTGTGTTATTTTAAAGTGCCTTTTTGTTGATCTATGAGGTCATTTTCAGTCATGGTGCAATATTTTTTTTTTTTTTACTTCTGATTAATATCAAATGATGTTTTTAAAAAAATTACTATTGTTGGACCCTAAGATTAAACAAAGCCAAACTTAAAATGGTTACCGCCAAAAGATTTGTTATAGGAATTTAAATATTTTGCTGTAGTTTTAACTAGATCAAAATGTGTTGATATATTTCAGAAAAGATCTACTTAGATTTTGTGTGTGTTATTTTAAATTCTCATTAAATTTGAAGTGCTCATTGCAGAGCACCGCAGGAAAATTTTTTACTAGTAAACGTCGTTTATATGACTAAACCGGCATCAATCCTCGGACCTCCGATATTAAAGTAAGAACTCTAAGTACTGCCGTAGCTGCTATTATATTTATTATATATATAATAAATTCTTTCCTTTAAGACACATATCTCTAAAAATCACATAATTTAGTTTTTTTTTAAATACATTTTCAAGGTTTAGAGTCTACAGTAAGGTAATTCTAATTATTAGAGATATTGGAAAGGTTTGGAATTATTAACTCACAGCCAGTAGCGAGGGAGCAGGCGTTGTAACTGACTCCTTGTATCCATTCTTCGTCTTTTTAAATGGCTTTTTCCAAGAGTTTTTCATTTGGAGAAGGTTCTGAAGTTTTTCCTCGCTCTTCGCACGCTCTACATTATCTTGAATGAGTTTTACTGCACGTTCTGATGAGTCGTTAACAACTTCGACAGATTTTACGAAGCTTTGAAACTCATTGTATCCTGGAAATTCTTTCCAAAAAATCTGAGGGAGTTTCATCCATAGACATTTTTCAGAAGTGTGACCTAGGATATCAAAAATTAACCAGGAATCTGGCAAAATATATGATTCAAGACCTGGTGGTTGATCTATATTAAACAACAAACTGCTATCCGAAAGGATTTTAGATTTGGTTCTAACCGTTCCTACATTTTTAATGCCACTCCGTTGGGTTGAATAAAGAACTTTTGCCATCTTTTCCATTTCGATGTAGTGATCTTTATTAGAACATGCTAGCGCCAGCACCACGGTTGATGGAGCCAAATACCACATATGGTTTCGCCATGATTTTAATACCACTTCTGCGGCAGGCTCATACGCAGTGTAATGGCACATCTGCCAAAAGTTTCGTTGATCCTAAGAGTGTGAGTTAAAAATAATGCAATACAGATAGTTAGTAAGGTTGATAATGACGTCTAACATCTAATGTAATAAGTGTCATTTATTTATGTCATTATTCTAAAACAATTTAGTTGGTATTTTTTTGAAACAAATTATTCTTAAATTATGAGACTAATATAAAAATATTTAGGAAATTAAGTTTTACTTCAAAAGCTGCAGAATCAGAAAACTCGCAGGTCAAAAACCATGATGCCCAGAAAAGAGAAATGTAGTCAGCCATTCTGTTGATCTCTTTGACAATTTCATCACTCAGAAAAAGAACCTGTCTGATCTTAGGGAGAAGCAAATTGAACTTCATATAGTACAATGCCTTTGCCATGAACCTGGCGTGTGAAATAGCTCCGGTTTTGTGAATTTTATACCTAACTGTCTGATCTTCTTCAAGGAACATAACTACAAGCTCTGCCAGTTCACAATAATCTTTGCGCTTCTCAAAAGTCTAAATGTATATAATTTACAACTTAATTAAAAACTTTTATGTTTCTTCTTTCTATTTTTATAGTTGGTATATATATTTGGTATAAATTTGTTTTAAAGTAATATATTTCTTTATTTTAACCTTACCTGACTATTTCTTAACTTGTTTTTATCTATCAGGTCCTTGCAAGTTTTTACCGCCAATAGAGCCTGCGTCTCCAACCAGGTACCCTTAACATTCTGGTAAAATTTCAACAGCATCTTCTCGTTGTTTGCATCAATACCATGCCAGTTCTGCTTTAGAGATTTAAATAGTTGATTCTCTGGTTCAACAGATTTGTTTACTGCAACTTCATTGCAAAAGTGTTTTATATGGAGCTCTCCTACATGATAGCGGCAGGCTAACAAGAGCAATGGTCGGCCATGAAAATTAGCTAATCTTGCATAAGCTCCTTTTAAATAGCCAGTGTTTGTAGCAGTGGTATCAAAACAAACTCCGTGGATGAACTGCCCTAGATCAAAAGAATCTAATAGATTTTGAATTGCTGTGAACTGAGCCTCACCACTGCCGTGTTCCAACCCTGGAGCGCCTAACAGATGGGTCTGATTGTCATGCCTTATAAGCACACAAATTCGGTCTTTTGTCTCATCTATGCTACCCGTATAATCTTTGATAATTTTGCCATCAAAATGCACAATGATGGGTTTGCCGCTCGTCTTAACCTTACTGGTTATGTTTGCTCTAAGAACACCAGCATTACTTCTTATTATTGTATCAAAAATCCTGTGAGTTGAGCTGTGGGATAATGTTACATTTTCTTTATCTCCACCGGCATTGCAAAGAAAAGAAGAGATAAGTGCTGTTGCCTGGTTAGTAGATATTCCCATCCCAATAGCAGTTCTGGCAGTTTTTGAAAAAATGTCTTTTGGTATCTTTAGAGTCATACTTTTAACTGTCTTCTTCGTTGATGCGTTACCAATTATAAAATCATCTTCGGAACATGTATCATTAGAGTCATCAGTAATCATTTCACTTTCAGAGGAAAATCCGGAGAAATCATGGAAAGTTTTTTTTACTATAGCAGAGGTTTTAGAGTTATTTCTTGATGCAGATCTATTACTAACATCTACAAACCGACCGTCCAACGCTCCAATCACCATCTTTCTGCAACTTAGCTGGTCCCGTATGAAGGTTAAATCTTCAATCTTATCTGCTTCTAGTCTTAGCCTATCAGTAGTTTAAAGACTATCAGTCTTTAAACTACGTTCAAGAAGCGTAATGTCTTCTCCAGCCCAAAATAATCCTTTAAATTTAATTTTATTAGGTAAGAACAAGAAAAAGCAAACTATTTACTTCACAATAAATTAGCTTAGTACTGGCTGTTTGACTAGAAAATCTTAACATTTAATATTTATCCCCTACCTGTCATTGATTTCTCAAATTTATTTCTTGTCTCAAGATAACCAATTCCAATTTTTTTCTAGGATTTCTTCAATGCTATGTACTTTTCTACATACTTCTTGACATGAAACATCATCCTTTTGTCACTGATGACTTTGAAGCCAGTTTTTCTCCAAGGAATTAAGATTCCGAAAAGGATACAACTGACATTGCAAAATTCATCGTTTGTTATGCATTTTAATCTATGAAGAACTTCTGTAAATTAAAAACATAACTTATTAAATTATCTTTACTATATTTGACATAAAACATGAAATAACGTTCTTATCTATTGATTTCTAAAGCTAAAAGCTTACTGGAAAGTTTTGGACATTAAAGGACAAGCGACGAGATCCTTCAGTGCTTTCTTTGGAAATTGTTCTCTTAAAAATAAGTAGCATTGGATAACGTGAATCCTTAGGGGCAGCTGGTTTGTTTCCATTCTATCCAGAGTGACGTTAACTAGGAACATGTTCTTGCGACTTGATCTTCTTTTTTTAAACCCCTTCTTGGGACAGGGATACACCTCAGATATATTTGTTGTCATAGCTAGCTTTAAAACAAAATTTCATTATGTTACTCATTGATCATGATGTTAATCACTATAAACATTTTCATTATTTGTATGAAGTTTAAAATTTTTTAAAAGTTCATTTAAAATATTATAAATGTTTAAATAACCTAATTCATTTAACTATAATTATAAAATATAACATGCATTATTATGTTATGTTGTTATAATAAACTTACTTGAGGTGGAAATAAAAGATTTTTTAAAATTAAAAATTGTTAAGTAGCGCAATAAAAAAATTGTTTTCTAAACTGCGCTTTTTTTAAATATTACCCGATTTTTGCGTTTCTAAAGTGCCACCCGGTAACAAATATGATAATAATAAAAATGCGCACAATCGGTATGGATAAAAAACCTTCCATTCTTTGTATTGACACAGTTAAATTGTTAAAGGTTTATAAATTTCTATTCGCGCTGATCATTTGAAACTGCCCATAAAAACTCAAAAAATGTAAAAAAAGTTAAACTTTAAACGAATGGCGCAAGAATAAATACTCATCCAGAAAAAAAAAAAAAAAAATTCATTAACAAACCAATATCTTAGAAACATTTTGAGACACTCCGT